CATATAATCGAAGTTTTGGATAGGACTTGTATTAACTGATGTTTTTGCTTTCAGTCCCGAGACTATTAAAGCTTCATCTGACGCAGAACTGGTGGGCTAGCCAGTACCCACGGGTTTGGGCCCTCCGCTGTGGGTAGGGCCGTGCATGTGCTCATGCGTGCGGGCCGCGCATGTGCTAGGCCGCGCATGTGCTTTTGAATAGGAGTAAAACCTGCAAGTGTAACAATAATACTAAATATATTTAAAGTCTTAATACAATGTCAATTTGTATTGAGTAGCTTGACTTAAAGGTCTCGTTACCAAGCCATAAAGTCTTCATAAAAAAATTACTAGCTTAAAATTACGTAAATTGGTAACACTAGTGTGTAAAAAAATTCCCGCCCATTCCCAATGACATCGATAAAAAAATATTTTTATGAGATCAGCATTGCCATTTATACGGCGATTGCTGTAATTTACGGAAATTCGAGCACATAATTTCAGATAATACGACATACGGCATATAATAATATACGGTAATCTAATGTTGACATTTTACAAGGCGACTGTTTTAAGTTAAATACTCATTGTTCTAAATAAACATGGAAAAAATTGCACTAAGAGTCTCATCCCTATTACATTATAACCGAAAGATTCTCTGAAAATTACTGCAGAGATTAGGAAGTCAACCAAAAGACAAATCTAAACGTCAAGTCTTACCAACAAAAAGCTGCAAAGAAATCGAAAATGGTATGATTTGTCCAATAAAGTTCATCCAATGTTGCAAAACTTGTCACCAGAAGAGATATAGATATATAAGAAGTGATATGGTTGCGAAAATGCAAAATTAGTACAAATATTCTTTAAGTTAACATGGTAGCGAAGTAATTGAGTCGATTAGAAATTTCTATTTATTATATTATCACGATTTTAATGACTACGCTAATGTGTTTGTCCTTTTGTTACTACCTGAAATTTAATTAATCAAACTAAGCAATGCGGCAATTACATTATTTTTATTAAGAAATACGCAATCTGGAATATCGAATATGGCAACTCTGTAAAACTTGATGGTAGCACTGTAAGAGATTATGATAATGACAATTAATGACAATGTAAACTGTCCATTGGCCAATGTCACCAATGTCGATCCATTGTATATTCAAAGTTAACTGTAAGTATATTTATATTTAAAGATTTAATCATGGATTAAATTAAAATATGAAAATGAAGACAGGTGAAACTTTCTTATCATGTGCTGTAACCGCAGAGTGGACATCAAATCAAGGGTCTATTATACGCAAAGTGAACTACAAGACTGCTTCTTTACGACTTATTCGCAATGAATTTCGCGAAATGTTTTTGGAAATAAGTAGTGAAAAGAACGCCGCTATTAGATTAGCATTAAAAAGTATCAATGTTTTTAAGAAGTTCATGGCTGATGGTAAGGCTAGTATAAAGTTTCAAGAAGTTGGTTGCACGTTGTTTCTATCTAATGCACCTCCAACAAACCTTGTTTCATTTCTTAGAACAATATTCGTTAAAATGACTGGGGATAAGGATAAAAATTCAAACACCACACTTGCAAAACAGAGTATGAGAACTAAATTACTCAGTGGCAAAACACAAGCTTTCGAAGAAATAAGCCCTGTTACAGTGGCAGATATACATAAGGCTAAAAGTAAAATTAGCAAATCAACAATAACAACTCCATCTCCACCAAGGAAGCGGAAACCGGAAGATGATAACCGAGGACCAGCACCCAAGAAATTATATTCACCATCTCCTTTAACAACTCATGGTTCTTTAAGTCGTGAGCAACAGCGAGTATTAGAAGCTTGTCTTGGAGGCAAAAATATTTTTTTTACTGGTTCTGCTGGGACAGGAAAAAGCTATTTATTAAAAAGAATAGTGACTGCCTTACCACCTGATGTTACTGTACCAACAGCTTCTACGGGAGTTGCTGCTTGTCACATTGGTAAGACTTAGGTTAATTGATTTTGAAAACTGTATTTTTCATATTAATGAAATTTTCTTATATTTTTTTGCCCAATATTTAATAACTAGTGCCTAATAGTTTTTTTTTCATTTTTAAATAATGTATATTTATTATTTAACCATCATACTATTTATCTTAAACAAAATGTCTCTATGGTATTGTCAAACTATCTATGATTTTAGATCACAAATTCCACAATCCAACATTATAATTTTACTGACAGAATCAACAACAGTTGGCTTATTGTTACTTCACAGTAAGTCATGTTTTAATAGTTTGCAATTTACTACTTATCCCTTTTGTCTGGAATAGTAGTAAATAGTACCTCACAGCTTTGCCCAACTTGCCTCAGTAAAATGTAATGATACTTTTTTTATATATTATCATTACTATTAAGACATATAAAAAAATACCTGCAGTTTTTTTTTTCATTTTAATTAAAATAACTTCTTATTTATAGGTGGAACAACACTTCATGCTTTTGCTGGCATTGGAGATGGTAGAGGATCCATACAAAATCTCTGTGAGAGAGCAGTGAAGATGCCATTGGTAGCCCAAAAATGGAGGAAATGTAAACATCTTATTATTGATGAGATTTCAATGGTTGATGGAGAATTTTTTGAGGTATTAATGATGATATGTGATGTGTATATACAGCGTGTCATTACCATCGCGACAATAAATGAACACATGTCTAACGCTACTTGCCAATAATCATAAAAAAATATTAACCTTAAACAAAATCCATAATTAAAAAAATATTTTTCAAACAAACTAATCAAGTAAAAAAGGAACAAAATTTGTAACACCTATAAAACTCGCGCCACAGCGTCGTATTACAAGCCTCTCCTTCTAACTGTTTTGTCTCTCTTAAATTCATTCAACCCATTCATATACTTTGTGACCTTTACAAATGAACTTTACGTTATGCTTTTATAGGTAAGGGTGTTCTAAAATTCTTTGTTTTGGAAAATTTTATAACTCTGTAAATATTGATGTTTAAAGAATTTAAATCTTTAATACAACTTTAAAAAGTTATCCCCTATATGTGTGTTCATTTATTGTCGCTATGGTAATGACTCGCTGTATATGTGATGTGTGTAGGGACAGGTGATGCGAAATGTCCATCATCTTGCTGTTTTCATAACATTTTAATTTATTTTTTAAACCTTTTTTAGAAACTGGAGGCAGTGGCCAGGTATATCAGAAGAAATGATAAACCATTTGGTGGAATACAATTAATATTATGTGGGGATTTCTTGCAATTGCCTCCTGTTGTAGATAAAAGTAAAAATGCAAAGAAATTTTGCTTTCAATCCCCTTGTTGGGATAAGTGCATTGAACTCTGTTTTGAATTAAAAGAAGCCCATAGACAGACTGATCAAGAGTTTATATCTATTTTAAATAGTATTAGAATTGGCCATGTGACAAAAGAAATAAGTGAAAGATTGTTAGGTACAGCAAGACAAAAAATAGAGAGTGATGGCATATTGGCAACAATATTGTGTTCCCATACTAATGACTCAAAAATGATAAATAATTCAAAGTTGAATGACCTAAAAACTGAAGAAAAAGTATTTGTGTCTCAGGACAGTGACAATGCAAGTAATATTCTAGATAGTCAAACCATTGCTCCATCGAAATTAGTACTAAAAGTTGGTGCACAAGTCATGCTTCTAAAAAATATAAATGTTAATTCAGGCTTAGTGAATGGTGCAAGAGGCGTAGTAGTGAGGTTTGATGAAGGGTTTCCAGTTGTAAGATTTAAAAATAAGAAAGAGTATACTGCACGAACAGAGCGCTGGTTTGTTAAAAACTCAAGTGGATCATTGTTATGTCGTAGACAGGTGCCACTTAATTTAGCCTGGGCTTTTTCAATACATAAATCACAAGGTTTAACATTAGATTGTGTAGAGATGTCTTTGTCAAAAATTTTTGAAGCTGGCCAGGCCTATGTTGCATTAAGTAGAGCACAGAGCCTTGATACATTACGAGTTCTAGACTTTGACTCTAGACATGTGTGGGCTGATCCAAATGTCCTAGAATTTTACCAAAGGTTTAGACGACGTTTACAGCAAATGGAGATTATACCATTAAGCAGACCATTGTCAGATAAGACAAATAAAAAGCTTAAACTAAGAGAAATTTTGCAGAAACAAATGAATAAGAAATAAATTAAGAAATATGTGTGAAGATTTTGATTTGCTTTTTATTTTGTAAATAGTAATAAAATTGCTCTCTATGACAGTTTGTGTTCTGAGTGTGTGAAAAGGGTATATACAAAATTGAAATGAAATGTCATGCTGCTCATATATTTTAGGATTTATGTAAATTGCAGTAATATTGGTAGTGGCTTGTAAAAGATTTATGTAAAAGAAAAAAGTGTTCCTTTTAATAATGTATATTATATCAAGTTGATAAATTGTTTAAAGACTAATTTTTAACAAAATAAGAAACAAAAATTGTTATAATATAATAATCTATTTTTGTTACACCAAGTATAGCAGTTAAAATACAACTCCAACCAATACTGAATGCATATGCATTGTTTTCGTCTTAATATTGTATAGCATAAAATATATTTTAAAATAGGTATTTTTAAATAAAATCTTAAATCATTCCATTTTGAAAAGACTGAAGACGAAAGACTTTTTATGTAAGAAGATTGCTAGCGAGCTGGCAGTTCACCCGATGTTAAGTTATATTCGGCCCCCATGGACAAGAAGAACACCCATAGTTACAAATGCATTGCCACCTTTCAATAAAGTGGTGAGTATAAAACTTCCACTTTGCGCCTGATTTCTGTTAAGTTGTGGTATTGTACTGGACAGATGTGCCCATTTGTGTAACAGCAACGACTGCTGCATTTCACTACCACAGTATTATGACATACTATATTTAAGCCATTATATAATGATTTTAGTACACTATTACATTAATAAATAAAGTTATGTGTTATAACAATTATTTATTATTAAATGGTACAAGAGTGAGATTTGGTTTTTGTTAAAATTCCCTACTATCGTGACTCAACAGCTGTTAGAATTTCAATTTGTTCTTCTAGTGTCGCAAGTTTTTCTTGTAAACATTTTGATATGTAATTGTAATTCTCAACATTTTGTTGCATTTCTTTTTGTGATGCTTTAACATTTTCCAGCTTTTTCTGAAGTACTTCTACATATTGTTTGTTTTGTACCACAAGCTCCATAAGCCTAGTATTGAGATGATCTTGTTTTTTCACTAAAATCCAAAGTTGTGCTTCAGTTGGAGTATCTGGTTTACACTTGTAGTCATCATTCATGTAGTTTTCTAAATTTGTAGGCTCCTTCAATTTACTCAATGAACTTTTTATATCCGACATTAACTCTGCTTGAGTTAACTTATTCAATAGTCTGTCCACTTTCGTCCGAGGTGTGACTCCATCACTATTTTGCTATGAGAAAAGAAAAGATGTAAAAAATGTTTTCAGAACAGAACTTATAAATACATATGTTGTAGTATATACTCTTACTTTATAAACTTGTGATGATACGGGAAATAAGGTAGGTATAGCATTTTCTTTAAGTTTTCTTTGAGAATCAAAATACTTATTTTCAAAATGTCTGGAACATATTCTGCTCCTACTCCAATCAAGTACAGTACACTTATTCTTCAATATTTGTAACCATTTGTTTCGTAAATCGCTTTGGGTTGGACAACTGTAAATAATATATTTTCTAATTTTCCTTTACAGAATGATATATTGAATATAAATTTGGAAACAAACTTACGCATGAAATGATATACCAATGGGCTTATTGAAAATAGTGTTTTTACAGCCTTGCACAGCGCAATGAGTGTGAGACATGTTGGCTTATTTAGCAAAAACGATTACTATGATGTAATAAATTCAAAGTTCGCTGGAAGAAAAATAAAATTGAAACTACCTTCTTCTTCTTCTTTATTGAAACTGCCTATTTGTTAACATAATTTTAAATAGACAACCGATTCGCTCGATAAACTAGTGTTAGTGTACGCAGAAGTAGGTACTCTTTGAGTGTACGCTGTTCTGTCATTTGTCAATAATATCAATGTTACCAACTGCCGAAAATATTTGTCCCTAAAAGTAAAACCCCCTAATAAAATAATATTGAAAATAATAAATGGCCTTAATTTCCTCTTTCAATAATACAATGAAGGATATTGCAGCAAAAATGTTGGTCTGTTAAAGTGATTAAAAAAAAATTGTGGGTATTATGTAAAAATTGTCTGTTATGATTTCTTTAGACGACCAATATTTTTATCGTAATTCCGAAAATGTAATTCATAATGAATGATAAAAAAATAATTACTTTTAGCACAATGGACAAGTGGCTGTTTACACTACAGCAAGTACTTAGTATTCCTATGTTGAATTGGACGAACAAAACGTGCAATGTTATTGCCGACCACAAATAGTACAATTTTAATGATTATACTACGGTAAGTGACGGGTCAAGTCCCCCGCACACCGTAAACAGTCACGGAATGGGTGCGGTTGCCTGGGTTTAGTTAAAAGACAGGTTGCAAGCCAAGTTGACTCGCCACTGCCCGACGGTTAACACTAATGTACTTAATCACTGTACTTGTTTAATTCATTTGACCAGTGTAAATCGGCTTAAAATTTATCCTACGCTACCACTATTGGATGCGTTTTGAGGGATACTTTTTGTCTCTACTCTCCATATTACAATTCCGCTTTCTTAGTATTACTTACCATTACTCCAGTCTCTATTTTTCTTAATCAAAGAAAATAACAAGAACTAAAATGAAGGAAGAAATATACAAGCAAAAAATTTCTAAAAATATAATGCCCATAAAAAATTCCAATTTGTTTACTTTAATGTAGGGGACATTTTGGGGGAAAAACCTCTAAGTTAGCAACCCTCTAAAAATATATTAAACTTGAAAAACTGTAATGAAAACTGATATTTCTAAATAAAACACTTATTTGACTAAAACTTTACATCCCTTTTAACAATATTAAAAAAGACTAGATATCCTTTACAACAATACCAGAATCATTAAAACTTATTTACCATCATGAAGAAAAACTTAGAAGAAATGAGCTACCATCCGCTAGATAAGACCTTGCGTGTCTAATTAATGAAGGTGACAGCCATTTAAGGTCTCGTTAAAACGAAGTTTGAAAATTAAACAACATTTTTCAAGGTAATTTTCAATGGCTACTTAAAAAATATCACTTTTAATAAGTTATTATTAGATATTTTGAACTTAAAATTAATAACAATTATAATTTATAATCTTTTTTTCTGCAGCAGCTCTTTCTTGGCGGAAAGCGACAACGCCGCAACCCTGCGCTATGCGATTTGCCTTTCAGCACGGATTTGTTTAAAAAACCTAGAAACTGAAATAAAAAATCATAATGTTTCGTATATAAGTTTTTACTGTAGTACGAGCACGCAACAGTCTTCACAGTTGTACGAAGAGTCAGGTCCGGTCGTGAAGTACCGCGACCTCACAGAAGACCGGCGTGAAGTAGGTGTGGAAGTGTAATACTTTTGCCAAAAAGAATATAACCACTACGTTTACACATGACTTTTGCGTTTCGCCAGCCGTTAGTGAGCCAGCCGGGGCCCACTTTATTTTAAACGCGTGGTGGTAACGCATCTGCAATCCCGCGGATGTTGCAAATGTCTATGGGCAGCGGTGTTCACTCAACATCAGGTGAACCGTCAGCTCCTTTGCTACCTTCTCGACATAAAAAATAAATTCTTTTGTTTTTTACATTGCCCTTACTTTAGGATAACATTATCCTGTGTTGTAAGGACGTTTTTCATACATAAATTTAACGTGGACAAACACCCAGATGCGAAACAACTATCTTTGGGTCGCACAAATAGTTTTCCCGTGTGGGAATCGAACCTACGACCCCCGACACCGAAGCCAATACCTTGGCGACAGCACCACGGAGTTATCAATAAAAAATAAATAAATAAGAATAATGATAAAACAAGATAAATACTCTTCTGACATCTCGGCACCACCATGTCATCTTCCTCGTCCTCTTGCACGACCACGCCCGCAACTTTCTTCAACGTTTCTTTCGCTAAAATAAATGTTTAAACACCAAAATGTTATTTAATGAATATTTAGATCGTTTAGTAATCATTTCTTTTTCTTTCAAAAATACATAATTTACAAAAAATTTCCTGGTACTAATGTTAATAAGATTAACTATGGGTAACTATGGCGGACAAAGACAATGTAATCACTACGTTTACTATGTTTACGTTTAACCCTTTCACGCTCAAGGGAAATATTTTTCCCTTCTACAAAAATCGTTATCGATTGTTCAATTATTATTGGATCGATATTTTTTTTACTCAATGTCAAAATAAAACGTATGTCTAAGGCAGCAAATGCGTTTCTGAACGAATAAAAAAAAACTGACAAACTTTATCGCGCCAAAATCAAAATATTCGCGGGCTGAACAAAAAATTTCTTGAAAGTGTTTTGGACTTGAGAAAATAAAATAAGTGTATTTTGTCACGTGTTTTATATTATTCGGTAAGTATAATTTTATATAATAATACAGTAAACTGCAGGATATTAGCACAAGTACCTAAAAATTGCAAATCATCTAAAGGGAAATATTTTTCCCTCTGGCCCATATCTGGTGTATTCGTTGTAGTATTATTATATAAAGTGCTTTATGATAATGTATGGTTTTCTTGTATTTTTATATAATTTACCTTCGTTTTTTTTACAGAAATGGTTAAAAGAGGGTGCAGAGAATTTCATATTCAAGATGAAGAAATATTGCAGTTACTTACGGCAGATAATAGTGACGGAGAAGATGACTTACAGTTAGACGAAGAAGACCAGCAGTTCATAGCTAAAGATGTAGAAAATGGAACCGATGTTGATGAAATTGAAAATTCTGTTCAAGAGCCGACAAATCAAACCTCATTACCCACCTGTTCAGATACTTCAGAGACTATTCCTATTTTCAACTGGAGAAATAATTCATACGCTCCTCCCACATTCAATGAAAGTGAGTATGAGTTTGGGCGCATAAATACATTATCTGACCGGCATGGCATGTTGTTGGCAATGGACATTTTCATGGAGGTGACACAAATGGATCAGTTAGTGTCTAATATCATATTAAAAGAAAGTATCAAATACGTACAACAAAATGGAAGACCTTTTACAGTCGGCTTGGATGAATTGAAGGCATTTTTAGGCATGAATTTTGTAATGAGTTATCATGTTTTACCAACTCTTATAAATTACTGGTCGACTGACGAAGACATGGGTGTGCCTTTCATTGCTAATGTTATGCCAAGAACTCGATTTGAGCAGATTCGGCAAAATTTACATTTCTCTGATAATAAGAATCACTCACAATCGAGTGACCGAGCGTATAAAATAAGATCTATTATGCAACATTTCAATTTGTGTTTTCAAGCAGCAATGAATAACTCACTAATCCATTGATGAACACATGATCAAATTCAAAGGGCACAACATTATGAAGCAGTACATCAAAAATAAACCTATAAAATTGGGGTTCAAGATGTGGTGTAGATGTGAGTCTTCAACAGGTTACTTATACCAGTTTGATTTATATACAGGAAAGAAAACTAATATAGAAATTGGTTTAGGTGAATCAGTAGTACTCTGTCTGACAGAACAACTCAAGGGTTTTGGTTGTGAAGTATACTTTGACAATTTTTTCAACTCGCCTGCTTTGCAACATAAACTTATGATGCAGAACACCAAAGCCTGCGGCACTGTTCGCACGAATAGCAAAATGTGCCAAAGTCATTACCATCAGAAAAAAGCATGAAAAGAGGCGACATCTATGCCGTAAGTACAAACGGCATAACATTCGTAAAACGGATGGATACTAAAGCAGTCCATATGTTGACCAATTTCATATCTCCGGTGCCAACTAGCATAGTAAAGAGGAGGCAGGCAGGAACTGCTCAAAAAATAAATGTTACATGTCCGGAAGTAGTGATGCGCTATAATAAATATATGGGCGGTGTGGACCTTATGGACCAGCGCAAAGCATGTTATGAGGTTGATCGCAAGGCCAAAATCAAATATTACCTGCGCCTCTTTTTGACATCTTAGATATCGCTATGAATAACTCGTATTTAGTGTACGTAAAGTTGCACGAAAAACACCGAGTAGAAGGTCCACTTTTGAGCAGCCTCGAGTATCGCCAACATATAGCACGAGGTCTAATAAATAATTTTACATGTAGACAGCGATCAAGACCCACTTTAGTCTCCTCTGAAAAGATCCGCATTGGAAATATACGCAAATTGCCAGCGCACAACATGGAAAAAGCAGAAAAACTAAAGCGATGCGTAAATTGTGCTAAACGACGCATAGAAAATAGGACACATAATAAATGTGTTATGTGTAATGTCCACTTGTGCTTCACAAGTAAACGAAATTGCTTCGTAGAATACCATAGCGAAATATTTATTTTACTTTTCTAATAATGTTTTATTATGTTTTTGTATTACAAGGCAATCTAACTCTTCGTTTATTTACTTTTATGGTCCATAGGGAAAAATATTTCCCATGAAATTATAGGAAACCTATACAACCTGCTATGATTTTCTGGTGATATTCGCTTACTTTACACCCACAATGGCTAAAATATTGTGTTACATTGGCATATTTAGTCTTGGACATCTTATGGTCCTGTAAGGATTAAAATTAAGTGTAAGGGTTAAAGTAAGGGTTAAAATAATTAGCTTTTATAATTTCACACCAAAAAAATAACATTCTAGAAATCCTAAATTTAAACACAATCAAAATTAACAAATTACACATTTCAGTCTT